TTGTGTTTTGAAGTCAGAAATATGAGGGAAATATGGTTTCCAAAATCTAATGAAAGGCCTAATCATCTGGAATAAACCATTGGAGTTGTCCATCAGCAGCTACGTGGTCCATGTGAATCCACAACTATGTTATTTCATGTGCATCGCAAACAATCTGTCGCTCTTGAAAGGCCTAAAAAGGTCTACAACTTGGGATATTCCAACATTAGCTGCCACATGTGCTCTATAGAAGTGAGCAGTCAAATGATGCAGGCTAAAGAACAGTACCAGCCATCCAGAGCTGTGACAAACAGATCTCAGCGGACCTCCGTAATGAGTCTCACGTCACACTCATTGGCCCGATTTTAGGACCGTACGCGCCGGTTTTAAGTAGTCAAATTAGGCAGGTTAAATGTTTAGAGCTGCACCCATCAAATGGTACCATCAGGGAGGCATCTGATCGCTCACAAGTGTATTCTGCAGCAGGGTAACAACTGCCAGGGTCATAAAGAACTATCCTGAGTGCCTTGCGAGAGAGTTCGAATCTCAACTTCATTGAGTCACTCTGGCATTACAGAAGCAATCGAGACAGACTAAACACAAAGCACAAGCTCTCCGAGATGTCTGGAACAACCTACCAGTCAATCACCTTGAGAAATGTGTACCGACAAGAATTGATGGCGCTTTGGAAGGTGGCTTTGCAGCCTTACTTTACCTTTTGTGTCTAAAACTTAGACACAGCACTCTGGAAATGTTTAGGGCACTTGTGAGCAATCTCATCTTTTTAATGTGGTCATTCGTTGGTCACGGCTCTTATAAAGTGGGTTAGATTTCAATTCAACTCATATAACATTAGCATCTGTTTAACAGTTTAATCATGCACCGTCTACAAATTCCTTTAATTCTTTACCTGAAGTCACTGTCTTAAAAGCATACAAATATTTCACTGTTTGCAAAAGAAATGTTTGGAAACCCGAAATGGAAAAGATATATTCTCTCATCATATAATTATGCATCCTGTGATATTAATCTTTAGTCTTATACCAAATCGTAAAATTCAAAAGCACATATATGCTGCCTATATATATATATATATATGTGTGAGAGACAGATTGGAAAAAAAACCCACATAAATGTACAATGCATGATTTGCCCCAGGTTCACACATAAGAAAAAAAAAGGCCAGCACCTTTGCCTCATCTGTGATTCATGATGAGCCGGTGGATGCACTCTGCCACACACTGCATGGCTGAAAACCAGTCAGACTGCAAAGTGAGGACTTAATTTGGCTGCATAAATCACAGGGACTTTCTGTGCGTGGCTAATCAAGAAGACACACGAGCACACATACGTCCGAGCTTTTTGTCTGCATACGTCTCTTTCTGTCCAACACACACACATGCAGGGTCCGTACGAGCTGCCCTCGCAGCGCTCGCACGGAGCCATTGGCATGCAGAACACGAGGCGGTGAGGGCCAAGAGGCAAGCGGACCCCCCCTTCCTTCTGCATGCTGATCATTAGAGAGACAAAGTGAGAGAGAGACAGAGAAAAAGAGAAAGAAAGAGAGAGAGAGAGACTGAACGAGGCAGCGGTGCCAGCTCCCCGGCAGCTCAATCACATTTAATGCCTGGACAGAGCAAGATGAAAACGTCTGCCGGTCAGAGCTGTTAATATCAGCCAAAAAGAATGGCAACTCTGTTATTGCATGACAGGGTTTGCAGTTTAGGACGGCTAAAAAACGCTATGACGACGCAAAGTCTACCCCTGTGGACGCTTTTTTTTACTTTTTCCGTCTCCCGTCTTTTCTCCCTTTGATATACATCTCTCTTTGTCTATCTCTCCCTCTCCTCCCCTCATTCCATCTTTAACAGCAACAAAGAGATTAAAGAGGGATTACTTCTGACATGTCAATGTGATGTGCCTGCTGGGTATGGTACTTTTTTTCTTTCTCATGCAGTCCTAAGTCAATATGATACACACACACTGACAGAGAGAGAGAGAGAGGAAGCTAGAGAGAGAAGAGAGAGAGGTCAGCATTTTATGAGTTACAGAGAAGAAGACGGGGAGGGAAAAAAAATTATCTCCACTTGCAAAATGCTAAATTCTGACATGAAGAAATTCCTAAGTGTGGCTTCTCCTTCCTTGAAACAATACCACCTTTTGAGAGGAAGCGATAACCAAAAAAAAAAAAAAGAAAAGCCTCCCTGTGTCGACTGCATCCATACCCTACTTTATCTGCCGTTTCCAAGGACTGCTGAAGAAGGGAGGATAAGAGAAGGGACGGCTGAGGGACGGAGAGGAGAGAGAAGTATTGTTTTGGGGGGTGATAACCTTTTGTTGTGATTCAAAGTACTTGCGGCAAGCAGGGAAATGAACTATTGATTAGAAATAAGGTGGTGAGGAGAGAGAAAGGGGAGAGAAAAGACACAATGACGGAAACCACAGCAGCCAACCAGCCACCCACACCGATCCTCTATTCTCAAATATAGACACATGCATGCACATGCGCTTGTTTATGCAGGGAAAAAAAGCAACCCCCACAACACTCGGCTTAAATGAAGTTGTAACTAAGCAGGAATAATTTCAGCCAACCAATAAACTACATACTGACTCCGCTGTCTATTCTACTAATTGGAAACCTCTCACTGGCCTGGTTTCCGCTACAGAGTCGACGAGGAATGGCTGCGTTCTCTCATTATTCGTGTCACTAAAATGTGCTCCTTGAACATATATGGGATTTGTTTGGGATTTATTTATGGATTATCGTGCAAACTGGGGTGATTTGAGAGCTCCAATTTCTGTAAATCCCATGTTTGTACAGCCTAACACGAAATGTATTTACCTGGCATTTCAAGAACAGGTTTTTATATTCCAGCACAAAAACTGAAGTACATGTTATTGGTCAACCTTTGAGAGTCTATTTGACCAACAACACACACGCACAAGTAGGACACCGTGTCGAAAAACCACAATGTGGATCCAGTTAGCTTGTATGTAATGAACAGAGACCAGTCGGTGTTCACAGAGAAAACCTTGACCCAGTTTCAGTTGCTAACAGCTGCCTACATAGATCCCTATGTTCGTCTTGGTAAACCTAGAAATGTCTCCCATATAAGAGGGTGCAGTCACGTTGCCAACACTCTTATCTGAAGAAACTTACAGGCAGGTAAAGTTTCAGAGTCTTGCTGTGAGATACTTGCAGAGCGCGAGCATGCCGCTGATATCAAACCATCCAGTCACAGGGTGATCCGTCTAACCAGTGGATTACACCGCAACCCCCGCAGGGCCACAACCACAGCCTGCAACTCTGGATGTAGGCTGGAGCTCCTGCGCACTTCTAACTTGGAGAACACCCCCCATCAGCATCCTGCTATACTGCACTAGATTTCTTTATAATCTTGTTTAAAAAAACGTAAATCAAAAATCCATGGAGATAGTTAAACTGTCATAACTTCACACCATCAGTTATGTTTAATTTCCCCGACAAGTGATTTCATCTCAGATTGATTGGCACACCAATCCAATATTTCATTTCCCACTGTTTACAAATTAGACAATATGAATTCACTGTCAACTTGACTCAATCTCATTCATTTGTCCATGCTGTTGTAAAATCTGGGATTGAGGCAATAGCTTGGTCTGCAGCCCACAGAAACCCTCTAGCTGATCCAGCTCTTGGCAAACTGGGCTCAGGTAGCCACTAAACTGGCCTGGGGTCAGCTGTGTAAACCAGCAAGCCAGAAATGGATCAAACCGGCCAGTCGTCCCTCTCTGGCAGCAGAAGGCAGCATGGTTTGGTTTCTAATGTGGCTTTTTAGGGTGGAGGGGGAGGAGGGCGTGCATGTCTGTGTGTGTGCGTGTGTGTTCAAACCTGGATGTGATCTTGACCATGCAACGCGGTCAAAAAACAGTTCAACGCGCACAGGTGCTTATCTGTCTGCTGGTGCGTGTGCGCGCATTTGCTCGTCACCCTCACTCTCACGCGCCTACACACTGCTCTCCCTCTTTCTCTCTCTGGTCCATCGCCCATTCGAGGCCACAGAGTTGTGCAACGATTATGTGTGCCCACCACCACCTCGCGTCCTCATCTCATCCTGCAAGGCACATTCTCCACTGTCATCTCTCCTCCCTCTCTCTCTCTCTCTCTCTCTCTCTTTCTCTCCCCCACCTCACCCTTCCTCCCTCCCTCCCTCCCCCTCCCACTCTCTTCCCAACCTATAGCCGGAGCCGGAGGTGCCGCTACATCGACTGAAAGAGTACGCTCCTTGATGTCGAAATCACACTCAACACAACAGTGCCACACTATGCCGGTGGTGGTGGAAGGCACAAAAGACGTTAGGACATGTAACATTTGATTTTTTTTATTTATTTTTTTTCCCTCTGGCACTGCAGCAGCTCATGAGAAAGGTGGTAATGCTATTGTGCTTCAAATAAAATCTATAAAAAATAAATAAAAAATCTGATGCCATCCAGGATAATCCCTCTGCCATCACGCCATCCTTGAACCACCTGTTTTTTCGCGCATCCTGAGCCCAGATAGACATTATTACATATGCAATTCAAGTGAAAACGCTGCAAGGGCAGTCCCTCTGCTTGACATTACTGATCAATTCGTGGCTATTACTGATATTAACAAGAACAAACGACTGGAAGGGGAGTTTTAACATATGCAACTGATGCTCAAAAAAATCCTCCAACTCGAATGGCAAACTTGACGCATTACAGATGTCCGGTTCGTTCTTCTAACAGCATGTGCAGAAGTAGACGTGCGGGGAGGGAGGGAGGAAAAATATAAGACTAAAAATGTGCATGAAACCCATTTTCAAGTCCTGAATGCAACAGAGTACATTCAGAGAAAAGCCCACTTAATACGACAGTGCGTCAAAGAAATCGCCAGCAATGCCGTGATTTAAGCAGCGCCGCGCATATCAAGGCTGAAACCTGCCGTCTGTTCGCTGAGAGACGCACACAGAGCCTCGTTGTGGCTGCAATTTAGTGAAGGCAAAAGCGCAGTAACTTACCGATATGGATGATTGAATCCGAGAGCGCCGACTTCCACTCCTGGCTCCAAAACACGGCGACGAGCAACATAGCCGCGATAACTTTCATTATGTCCACAGATATTTCCCCCCGAAAAAGAGAAAAAGAAAAAAGAAAAAACTACAAGCTCTCTTGAGTGAAAGCGAACAGAGTTAAAATCCCGACAACCGAAGCTTCCTTTTTTTTTTTTTTTTTTAGTCCATCAGTATAGGGTGGTCAAGGAAATTCCCGGTAATCTGTGCCTTGATGTGTTCTCTTGGTGCGTAACGCTTGCCTGTGGATGAAAAGAGCGAGAGATTCCCGGGTAGTCATAGACTGGTACCCTGTTGAAATTCCTCCCAACATTAAATCATATTCTGGGCGAGTAGAAGAAGAGAGACGCTGAGCCGCAGAGGAAACAAACCGCATCCAAACGCCGACGCGTTAATGCGAGCTGAGGGGCTGGAGGATGTGGCCGCTCATTTAAAGGAATAAATCTGTAGCCATTCGATAGCGTTCAACCAAAAAAAAAAGGGGGAAACCTTGTTATCTTGAAAAGCAGGTCCCGCTATAATGACCCGAGATCCCCAGCCTTTCAGACCTGGCGACGCAGTTTCCCCCCCCTGCACCAATCACCCAACCACCACCACCAGCAGCAGCAGCAGCAGCAGCAAGCAGCAGCAGCCTCAGCGGACCAAGCCAACGGCCAAAACTTCCATTTCTCCCAGGGGCTTTTCAAAAAATACAAAAAAGAACAATTTCCTTCACTTAGCCACTCTTTGCATGCCAGCCAAGCCAGAGCACACAGACGAACCCAGCAGCGACTTTTGTTGGAGGGGAAAGAAATGATAAAAAAGCCTTGTCACATGGCATTATCATTGGAGAGGTACCATATTCCGAAATTGTCTGTAGCTTCCTGTAGAGATGAGAGAGACACTGGGATAGAGAGGGCTCTGTAATGAAAGCCACACAAAAAAGAAATTCTTGTCTGCGCCAGGAAGAAGGGGGAAAAAAATAAAGAGATTATTTGGAGGAGAGGAAGAGGGGAAAAAAATTAGCCGAGGGTGCGCGCAACGACACTCCGCGGTCCGCACTCCGTATGCGGGTACTCGCGTCAGCCCCAGCTCTCACGGTGGCTGGTGAAGAGGAGGTATACTGCGTCCGTGTGGGAGAGAGAGAGAGTGAGAGAGAGAGAGAGGAGAGGGAGAGAGAGAGAGCGGTGGGGGAGGAGGAGGAGGAGGAGGGAGGAGACCCAAGAGAGAGGAGGAGGAGGAGGAGGGAGGAAAAAAAAGAGAGAGAGACAGAAAGAGGCAGCAACTATGAGCAGCAGCAGTTGCCAGCCAGGGCGCGCATCTACTGTCTGGAATTACCTTGGTGAAAGACAGAGATGAAATGCGAATATGAGCGAAGGGCGGAGGGATGCAGAGGGAGAGACAGGCAGATGAAGAGAGGTGTAATGTGCCAACCTTAGCTCTGTCAGGGGCACCACAGGCTGCCATTGACCCGCCGTCTACCCCCCTTGAGTCAGTAAAAGATGTGAGTTGTGATAGGAGTGTATCTGGGTCATCAACATTGATAACTTCATGGGACTTAACCTTGCCATGGTGTTGGTAAAATCCTGTATTCCATTTTCTCAACTTTCCCCCCTGAATCCTAATCACCTCCATTTCTCATAATGAACGGATGTATTTTTCTTTCCCTGCAACTAAACTTCCATCCTCCTGTCTGTGTATTCTGTCCACCTCTCACCATCATCCATTTATCCATCCCTGCCTCCCTAGAGGACCGGAGTCCCCTGGGCTCCTCTTAATCTGCCCCAGACCTTGGATTAGGGATTAGGAGGGTTGGGAGCCTCGGGTTACCACAGGACTCACGGTTTTGTGCGCATTCAAGGAACGAGAGATTAAACTGACTGATGCTGTGATATTGATGCCGTGAAAGCTGCTCTCAAGTCTCCCCTTTTTTTTGATGCTATTGATTTATTATTAAAAGTTTATATAACCGCTTACATTGAAGGGGAACATCGCTTGTTCTGCAAGTGAGCTAGAAAATATACAGATAAAAAAAAATAAAAAATTGCCAACAAAAATATACTCTGGAAGATGGAAGTAAAATAAAAGATTACAAGATCCAGTGTTTGTGCTCGCATCACAATTACATATTTATGAAATACAGTCTGGAGATCGGTGATATTAAAGAAATTATTGACTCCTAAATACAGAGAAGATAAGCCGAGGAAAGCGTGCCATTTCTAATTCACTTTAAGCAAAATGAAGGTTTTTGTCCAACTTAAAAACAACTTCATTTATAAACAAGAGGTCACACGGTTTTCACTCATTCAACCCACTTAGTGCAGGACCTTTTCAAACCTTTGATGTCATTGGATGAGATGTACACCTTTTATTCCCATAGTCAACACACACAAATACCCAGACGTGCCCGAACTCAAAGCGAAATCACAAACTTAAATTCACTCTCAAAAATACAACTTGCTGAAAATCATTTAGAGGTCTGTGTAATTAATTCATGAAAACCATGAAAAAAAAAAAAGTGCTTCAACTTTCTGCTAAATTGATCAGGATTTAGCTTCATGAAGTTATCAGTAGGAAAAGAAAAAAGTATTTCCGTCGTAAATTTTTCCAGTGAAGTAAGACCTCGAGTTAATGCTTAAACGTCTAACATGGAAAATATTTGGACCGCTGCTGAGAAAAGAGACAAAGTGTTACCTTGAGCAGCACTCAGATGATTGCATCCTCGCCGAAGACAGTTCATGTATTTTTGAAAATTACCAATTTGAAGGAGTAAAATCTTGCACTGGATGAGCAGTGGATGCTCAGACCCACACATCTACCCTGAGTGTTGGATTAAGACTGATCTCTCACTCTAATTCCTCAATCAGTGGTGTCCTGGAAGCTGTGAATGGTGTGGATGTTGATGAATGTGTGTTTGCTGTGACCCAGTAATGAATACATGCACACAAGTAGCATCTGGCTGGTTAAACAAAAACAAACCAAAAAAGAAAAAATGCATCTTGCGCAGCAATCAGCCACAACATTAAAACCACTTGCATAATACTGCGTTGGTCCCCCATGTGCCACCAAAACAGCTCTGATTCGTCGGGCCAAGGACACAGGACCTCTGGGGGTGTCCTGTGGTGTCTGGCACCGGCACATTGGCAGCAGATACTTTGGGTCCTGTGGGTTGCAGGGTGGGGCCGCCATGGATCAGGCGTGTTCCGGCGCTTCCCGCAGATGCTCAATCGGATTGGGAACAGAGGAAGGAGGGGATTGGACGCCAGGTCAAGGCCTCTGGCTCGTTGTTGTTGCACACAAGTTATTCCTGAGCAGTCTTTGCAGTGTAGTATTGCAAAATGTCCTGCTTTAGGAGGCCTCTGGCGTTGGGGTCTGTCATTGCTAGGAGGGGTGTGTTTCATCTGCAACGTCAAGGTTTCGGAGCAGAACATTACACAATGAGATGATCAATGTTATCAAGCAGTTTTAATGTTGTGGCTGGTCGGTTTACACATGGACGTAACTGCTTTCAGTTTCCAATCTCAGACCAAGAAAATGTTATGTTAGGATGCAGAACAGCAACTTTCTAATCTGTTTATACGAATAACATGATCCTTTAAAACAACTGAGAATGGGAAAAACTAATCTAGTGGGTTTAAGAATACAACAAATGTGTTGTCTGCTGTACATGCCAACACTTTCAATGGTATTTTTTCTTCTTACCTCCTGTTAGACTGCCATCTTATTTTTACACAAGGAATCATTTGAGCATATGATCTTGTTTCTTATTTGTGTAATACAAGTTTTACACAATGTTAGTGCCCGACAGCAGTGTTTTACTCTTGCAGGGCTACTATAGTCTCTTCCCTGGAGATCCACCATCACCTCAGAGAGACTTTTTCCTGAGTGCTCACTGTTGGCAACTAAGCAAAATTAAAAAGGAAAAAAATTCTTGGTAGAAAGTAGGGCCACGGACACACAATGAAACCAAGTAAATGTCAGTCCTGCAAACAGTGGAAAGTTTCTTGAAAACTTGTTGCTTCAAATCCTTTGTAAATTCTGTATGAATTGAATAAAATCTCCATTTTTGACCATCCAAACTCAGAACCCCTTGTGAAAAAAAAGTTCTTTTAAAAATACCCACAAATTCATTTAAAAAAAAATCAAAAACCGGAATCTTATATTCATGAAAGTAGTTAAACTGAAAATTCATTCTTTGCAGAAATCCCTTTGGCGGCAGTTATAGCTTCTGGTCTTCTTCAGTAAAGTCTACAAGCTTTGCACACCTGGATTTGGACGGTTTATCCCATTTCCCCTGCAGATCCTCTCAAGCTTTGTCCAATTGGATGGGAAGCCTCTATGAACTGCTTCCACAGATGTTCTATTGGATTTAATTTGGGGCTTTTGCTGGGTCACTCTAGGACAGTGAGAGACTTGACCTGAAGCCACGCCAGCATCGTCTTAGATGTGTCCTGTTGTGCTAATAATCAGACTGTCTCCTCAAACTCTGGTTGCATGCATTCACTCTTTAGTAGGTTTTTCTTGAAGGACTCTCCCTTTAAGTGCAACCAGTCCCTGCTAGTGAGATGCATTAGTATAGCATGATGCTACCATCACCGTGCTTCACTGTAGTGACAGAAGTAGCACCGGACATAGAGCTTTCTCCTTAAGAGTTTAATTTTGCCTTACCAGAGCAACAATTGTTATAAAATTCCTAAAATATGTTTTACTTCGTCATTAGGGGTTATTAAGTGTAGACTGATTTCAAAAATGTAGATTTCATGAATTGAAATTGAATTGAAAATGTGAAGTGTCTTTCTCATAGGTCCAGTTGTTTCTACTGTGTAACATAACCTATTGCTACTTTGTCATTAATGTGAAATCCTTGCTAAGTTAATCATTTTGACAGAAATGTTAAAAAAAACTGCTCCTACAACTTCAGCACGGAGACAACTAACACCCAAATACACTGCTTTCTATCACTACACTCTGCAATATCTCTCTATTCCACAGCAAATTGTTATTTTCTGTATTTTCTTTTCATGATCGATTGACAACAGTGTACAATAAAAACAAATT